TTGCTAGAGGCTTAGGTTCTGCCATTGTGAACCATAACCATAATGCAGGAGAGAAACAGAAGCCATACTACTCTTTATCTGAGCAGCAGGCAGACACCAGCACCTTTAACAGACTCAAGATTTTTGTAGCAGCCTGTAGGTACTTGTACAGGAGTAACCAACCTCAGTCCTTCATGGCAGTTGTGTGTTGGGGTCCAGCCCCAGCAGGTCCAGGGGTTCCCAAAGGTGTGGATGCAGTCGGCGAAGAAGGAATGACATGGAGACAGCGTTCAGTTGATCAGCAGCCTAGCCAGGTTCTCTAAAGATACGATTCTTATGATACAGGGTAATAATTCTATCTGAGTAGGTTCAGAAGTATTTGTGGCAAATGGAGAGGGCAATATTAGTTGAATCTTGAAAGATGTGTAGGTGCTTCTAAGTGGAAAAGACGTAGATTCTAGGAAGAAAGGAAAGAATTTTCATACAGAACAGAGCAAATCCAGCTGCAAAGTGGTAAGTAAGGTTGAAGTGACAAGAGATGTAATATGGTGCATGTTGGACCTGGCAAGACCTGATAAGAGATGAGACTCTAGTCTAGAGATGACCAAAGGCTGGACTTCAAAAGGCTGTTTGTGTCCTGGCCCTCGCATGCTGCATTGAGGAGCCTAAATCACGTCCTGAAAATGATGGGGTATCATCGAATAGTTGTAAACAGGTAAATAATAAAGGAGCAGTTATATATAGGAAAACTCACTCTGATAACTCATTGTGGGTGGCCCAGTTGGGAAAAACATGAGAGTCTTCAGAAATCTAGATGAAAATTGAACAAATCTTAAAGAAGCAGCGGTGAAAATAGAGAACATTTTTTGTTTTGTTTTGTTTAGACAAAATTCATAAGTAAGGTAGCTCAGATTCTTGGATATTTTTATTTTATTTTTTAAAATTCTTCATTGTTGAAAGTATTACATATGTCTCCTTTTCCCCCATTGACCTCTCCCTGGCTGCTCCCACCCCCCAGCACATGCCCTGTTGGATATTTTTAAAACAAAGAATGTATTCTTTTTTATAGAACAGCAGGCACATTTTAAGGAAATAAGACATACAAGTAGGTGATACTCTTTGGGTCAATCAAAATGTGAACGAGGAGCCACTATACAGCAGAAGTGGAATCTTGGGGCTCTCCATGAGATAAAGGTGCTTGGGGAGTGACCTCACTCATTTTATGTTGCCTAAATTTCTACTCTCCCTACCTATGTTGTGTTCAATTTCTTATACCTTATTAGCAAACAAAATCTATGGAATTCATGAGTGAATAAATAAATGTAACTAGTGAAATATTTAAAATACGTATTTCATATACTTATAGTGTGTCTGTTAACTTTTATTGTTATTTTTATATACATTTTCAGTTTTGGTCCTTCACAGTTCACTTTAAATAAAATGTGAATTTTCTTTTACTTGTGAGTAAAGTGTTAAGCAAGTATTTATAATGGTTGCAAAATCCAAGCCAAAAAATATTTAAGGCTATCACTATGATAAAACTATAGCTATAGAAAAAAAAGAAAAGAAAAGAAAAAAACCCCAAACTTAAAAGATCACAAGCAAAAAAAAAAAGTCCTTTGTAAAACCAACCTTTTAACCTCTCCAGTATTTTGAAAACAGCTATTACCAGTTGGAGAAACTTTAAGAAATCAACATTCATCTGGCTCATTGGTGGTTTATCATCCCTCTGTATTATTAGGGCATAATTCCCCACAAACCTCAAAGCCCCAGTACATCATAGTTCTACTTCACCATAAAGGTATGATCTAGCCCTGATTTTCAAATGCAGTGTTGAGGGACTTTTTCCATTTTTCCATTTGTAGACCCAAAATCAGGGTCTACAGTAAGTCTCCAGTGAATATGATTTAGGAAAGAAGAAAACCCATGCGCATCATTGCTTTATGCAAGTGTTTACCCAGAAGGCAAAAGGATAATGTACAGAGAGCTTTCAGGCTGGTGAACACGTGGTGATCCTGAGAGAGTGGCATGCTTAGAGAAAGGAGCTTCCATGCCCTTTCCCCACACCTTACCTTATGCATTTATTCCATCTGACTGTTCCCGAGTTATATCCTCTTTTTTTTTTAAGTCCTCACCTGAAGATGTTTTTATTGAGTTGAGAGAGAGAGAAACATCAATGTGAAGTTGAAATTTTGGTCAGTTGCCTCTGGTACTGCCCTGATGGGGAGTCAAACCGGAAACCCTTCAGTGCACAGGATGATGTTCCAAACAACCCAGCCACACGATCCAGGGCTGAGTCTTATAATAAACTAGTGGCCCAGTACATGGATTCGTGCACATTGAAAGGAAATTAACTAGAAGAAATATTTTAATATCGCTATTCACCCTTTCTCTATAATAGAAGTGTCAACCAAATTCATGATCAACAATGACAGACTGAAACACATGCATGCAATTGGCGCCAGCGAGAGCTTTATGTGTATTGTGCATGTGAGAGTCAACTTAGCCTTTTATAAATATAGAACAAACTTAATTAGACCTGCTTTCTGATTTAGCTAAACTTTTTCCAGCCCAGTGAAGCACCCCAACTTCTCTTTCAGGTAATTGTCAGCAACACAGCAGTAAATATCAACACGAAGCATATTATTATTATAGATTATGCAGGGAGAACAAAGGGTAAAATATTTAACTGCAGCAGTGTTTGACTATATTCTGCGCAGTGAGAAAACCTGAAGTCATTTTCAAGGTCCACCATTTCTTACTTCTTTTCAGTTGGGTCAAGTTTCTAAACTTTCTAAATCTCCATTTTCCAGCTAATGAAAAGAAAATAGGATTCCACCAAGTCTCCTATCTACCTACTCCTGGACTTCTGTGAGGATCAAATGAGATGAGGCACAGACATTTGTTTCCAGTGTAAAGTGTTTTCACCTGGCTAAAGTGTTCCTGGGCTGAAGAAACAGCAAGGAGGTTAGTAGTAGTTAGGGAGAGGAAGCCGGGGGTTGCTATATGACATCATTAGCTGGAAGGAGGGAAGGACACTTAGCATATTATATATATATATATATGGAGAGAGAGAGAGAGAGAGAGAGAGAGAGAGAGAGAGAGAGAGAGAGAGAGAGACTAGAGGCCCGATGCACGGAATTTGTGCAAGAGTAGGCCTTCCTTTCCCTGGCTGCCATGCGGGGCCAGGGCTTCCCTTGGCCACCGGCTTCTTCTAGAAGGTTGTCTGGTCTAATTAGTATATTATGCTTTTATTATTATAGATTTATAATCTAGAGAGTAAGCAAGTTTCCTGAGTTCTGTGAGCTAGTGTATAAATAATCAAACACGAGGAGCAGGTGTTGGGAAACCTCTATTTTATAGCCAGTTGTTAGAAGTGCAGGACCGGGATTGCTACTGGCATCTGAAGAAAGGATACAGTCTTCACCTGTAAAATCTGACACTGTCTCCACAATGATAGTGTCAAAATTGAGTTGAATTGTAGGATACCCACTTGATGTCCAGAGAATTGTTTGGTGGTGGGGGGGAACCCCTCACTTCATGAATTAGAATTGGGATCTGGACACATAATGTAAGGTGTGTTTAAAACTCTTTGTAAGTGGAAGTTAGAAGCAGCCAATTTACTTAGTGGGAAATTCTATTTAACATGAGTAATATAATGCAGATTGGAGATGTTTTTTGAATTTTGATCTAATACCGTCATGCACCACTTAATGAGGATATGCTCTGGGAAATTCACCTTCAGGCATGCTGACATTGTGTGAACATTATAGAGTGCACTCACACAAACCTAGATGGTATAGTCTGCTACACAGTCTAGACTACATGGCATAGCTTACTGCTTCTAGGGTATACACCTGTGCAGCAAATTATTGTATTGAAGACTTTAGGCAGCTGTAACTCAATGGTAAGTAGCTGTGCATTTAAACATAGAAAAGGAACAGTAAAAAGTATGGTGCAAAAGATAAACCATGGTACACTTGTATGGGGCACTTACCATTAATGGAGTTTGTAGAATTGAAAGTTGCTCTGGGTGGGTCAGTGAATGAATGGTGAGTGGATGTGAAGCCCTAGGCCAGTGATGGCGAACCTTTTGAGCTCGGCGTGTCAGCATTTTGAAAATCCCTAACTTAACTCCGGTGCCGTGTCACCTATAGAAATTTTTTGATATTTGCAACCATAGTAAAACAAATATTTATATTTTTGATATTTATTTTATATATTTAAATGCCATTTGAAAAAGAAAAATCAACCAAAAAAATGAGTTGGCGTGTCATCTCTGACCTGCGTGTCATAGGTTTGCCATCACTGCCCTAGGACACCACTGTATACTGCTATAGACTTTATTCACACTGTGCATGTAGGCTCCACTAAAGTTATAAAACAACATGAGATTAAATCAAGCACAAGAGAAAATATGCAAACAAGAGACATAAACAGGAGGTGTATGAGGCTGACATAACATGGTATTCTCCTTTAGAGGGAATTTTTTTGTTTAATAAGTAAAAAAGAATACATTCTAAAAATAATGATAAGAAGTATAGGATGATAAATACATAAACCAATAACCTATTTATCAAAATTATCAAGTATGTACTATACATAATTGTGTGTCTATACTTTTATATGACTGGCATTGTGGTAGATTTGCTTACACAAACATCACCTCAAACACAGGACTAATGTGTTCTGCTATGATGTTATAATGGCTATAACATCACTAGGCTATAGAACATTTTCAGCTCCATTATAATCTTATGAGATCATCATTGTATATGTGGTCCATCATTCACTGAAATATCATTATATGGTACATGACTGTATTTTATATATGGGAGAGATGAATTTTATAAGAAGTCAAACACAGTGATGCCATTTGCTATGTTTTATTTTACTATTAGCTTGTTAAACATAACATGCAAATAATAAAAAAAGAAATATACATAAGATTTTAAAGTGAAAAATAATTCTAGAAAGTTTTTCTAGGTAACTATATATATTCTTAATACTAACAATTCTTCTTTAAATGTATGTGGCTTCATGAATTTTGTTTAATATTTCACAAAATCATTGGTCTCAAAATTTACCACCTGCTTTTCAGCTGAACAAATTTGAGCATATTAAGATAATTTGATTAAAGACAGTAAACATCCATATTTATGTATTCCATACTTTTGGGCACATTAAGTTAACATTTAGAGATTATAAAACTCGGCTGACTTCCATGCAAACAGTAAAAGGCTTTGCACATCATTTGACAGTGAGATGTAAAAAGCACTAAATTTACAATTAACGCATTGTTTGTTGTATATGTGTGAGTATGTGTCGTGCTTGTGATGAAATAGGCCTGCTTTTCATCTTTTCTTTGTTAAAAAGTAGTAAAATGTTTACAAAACATTTTCTCTCAGAATTTAAAATTCATGGAAGTAATAAACAACAACAAAAATGAACACTATGAAAACCAACACACAAAAATACAAGCATAAGATGTTGCTCCAGGATACACCTCAATATAATTGAAATTAATTATTAGTGATAGTGATTTCATTTGCTACACGTAGACATTCATACATATTAGGTGGCAGACTAGTTTGGGTGATATTACGGTTGCCATCCAAGCGCAAATGCTTGATCTTGGAGTAGGATAATGGTCCCAGGATCTTACAGAAGCTCTTTACTTCAAGCTCTGGAAAATAAAGAATAAAAGATTTTAATAATATTTTTTTTTTATTACATGGCTTAAAATAGTCATTAAAATTTGTCCAAGTCCATAGTAATATCTAATAGGATTTCTTCCCCCTCTGCCCCCTTTTTTGAAGTCATTTGTTTGGTGTATATTTGAATTCTAAATTACTAACGAAATATTTCAGACTACCAAATGATACAAAAATATTTAGTAAAGTAATTATGGTGGGTCAGGATGGTCAATTAAATTTTTCAAATAATGATATTTAGTGTAAGTTCTTAGATTAGAAAGACTAAGTGCATAATACTATCTAAGAATTTTTAGAAATATTTAGACTGATGATATGTAAAATTGTGCTGTTGTATGAATCATCTCGCCAATATAAGCATCTTGAGCTTTTGCATCTGGAAATTTGAAGGGTTAACTAGATGACCTCTAAAGTGTTTTCCTACTGGCACACATCATGACAGATTCAAAGCTCCAAGGCAAAATCCAAGTCATGGAATGACCACCATCTGAGCCACGTCCTTTCCTGTGGTTAGAAAGCTGCCACAAAAGAAAAACTGATTTAGTTTTTAATGGAAACAAAGATTGTTACTAGATTGCATGGTTTATGTGTGTACATAGAAGCTGTCTATGTTTGCTCAAGTCTATTTCAGATTAACCTTATCTAGTCCTTTGCCTTGATATTTTCTTTTATTCTCAAATTCTAATCAACAGTGACTTCAGTGGAAGCCCAAACACACTCTGCTCCTTACCTCTATGATGCTGTCTTAAATAAGTCATTAGTCAAATTGCAGAGATCTTTGTTATGCTACCTACCACTAAGGAAGTATGGAACAATGAGATAAAACATGGCCTTAGGCCTATATTCATTTTCTGCCTTTGCCATTTACCAAATGGGTGACTTTGGAATATTGATGTGATCTTCTTGTTAGACATAATATATCCATCACACTGCGTTGCATGAATATTAAACCAATTAAGGTATGCAAAGCACCTCACAGAGTGTTAGCACATAATATATATTAAATAATTACTGGTGCCCTTTAAATTTTGTGGGTTTTTCTCTTTCAAATTATGTCACCATAGAAAGGTCTGTGATTTAAGTTAGTGTCTTAGACTTGCAAGTCTGAAAGATGAGGAATAGTTTTGGCTATAGATTTTCTAATAGTAGAGAAACATAAAGGGGGTCTTTTATCTAAGAAAATGTAGACAATTGAGATACATAAGTATTACATGGCACAATAAACTAAGTCAAAGAAATGCATGCAAAGACAAATGGCAACAATGCCTTCCAGGTACACCTGGTATACCTAAATGTCCAGGTCAAGGAAGGAAGGGCGGACACTATTCATTTCCAAATGACGATATATGCGGGACACTGTGGTTTCTATCTCAGCCTGGCACTGAGTGCCTGTCAGCATTTCGCCCATAGACCACCTTTCCCATCTCCCACATCGGCTCTTCCTTCTCTCACTCACATAATGCGGCCTTATTGTCACCCCTCCAAATTCTCCTGCATCTGTAGCTCTTCCCTTTCTTACCTCAGAGAATGAGGTGACCCTGCCCCTGATGCTAATCTCCACCCACCATGTCTAACAGGATTTCTTCAGCCCTCAAATCCTAAAACATCTTAAATCCCATTAGTATGTTGGCTAGTCTAAGTAGCCATACTCTTAACCACAAATGTTTTTAATGTGGGATCCTATATTGCCAGATAGTGAGTTTTTTACTAGAAACCATTATAAGGGTCCAGCTCTGATAGCTTGACTGTGTATTGTATGATAAGCAAGTTTTCTGGATATAAGAAAAAGCATGTGGCATTTTAGAGTTGGCAATCATGGTCTCCTTCATGAGATCACCCTCACCACCCTAGGTGTTACAGGAAACTTGTAGAATTACAAATTATCATGTTAATAAGGCACAGTGCAATTTTTCTAAAAGGAATATCAATATTTTCATCCAGTATGACCAGACAACCAACTTTCATGGCATAAAGATACTCAATTTGAATAGATTATTTAGCAGATACAATTGTTTATGTGTGAATCAGTGTTTCCCACTTGATTTTTCTTTTAGCAAGTTTGTCCAAGATCATTGGTTTCTCTTCTGCCAAGCTCTGTTAAAGAGAGAGGTGGGGGACAGTAAATGTACATTTCCCACCGAAATCTGTATTGCTCAAATTGAAAATGCCCCAGAAGACAAGAAGAGGGCATAAATAGTCCAAGTGGATCAGGTCAAACTCCCACCCAGAAAATAAATGAAAAATAAACTGTATCATCAAGAGAAAGGGAGGAGAAACTGTGGAAAAATCCAATGTGGTGGAGGGTTGTATATAAGAAAAGGAACTCTGTAATACTGTTTTTAAAATGTTCCAAATCCTTATCATGTACCTTCCCTCCTTAATCTTCCTCACAGTCTCATAAGAACATTGGGAAGCCACACACACCATAACAGGGATAACAGAGATAGATGATGGTCATGATTGCAGAACACCATGTTGAGTCCCAAGTAAAGATGTCAGAGAAGACCATGGGGATATCAGGGCTGCTCTGGGAATAAGCAGGAGGGAGGCTTGAAAGCCTCTCCTAGCCATGCCTCTTCGGCACTCATTTGCTCCCCCTTCAGCTAGATCTTGCCAAGAAATAAATGTAGGACACAAATCTACGTCATGGAGAAGGCAAATAGTAGATAAATATCAAGCGATGATGCAGCAGGATTAATTAGCTCAGAATATTAAAAATTGAAGAAATTAATGATTAAATTCTATGATCCTAATGGTTTATCTGAACACTTCAAAGAAAGGCCAGATATTGGATAAATAACTAAGCTACAATTTTCTATATTTGAAAATTTCTATACTTGAAAGGGATATTTTCTTGGCATTTTAATTAGTGTTTTAAGTGGAGCCCGATGCAATCAATATTTGTGTTGCACAGCTTACGTGTTTAAAAACATGCGGCTACATCCCTCAAACACAAGCACAGCGTTCTACTTACTTTCAAGTTGATTGACCTCCAGGTAATAGTTTTCAAGGTGTTCATTGACAGTGGGTATGTTTTTTAGCTTATTATAGGAGAGATCCAGCTCTAGCAGAGATGATATATTAAAAGAATTTCCAGGTATTCCACTATCGGCCAATTCATTATGAGATAAACGCAGATACTGCAGTCCCTTAAAACGCTTGAAATATTCATCAGGGATGTTGCTGATCTTATTGTTGTCTAAGTAGAGAGTTAGAAGAGACGTTGGGAGACCAGAAGGCAGTTTGGTCAGCTGATTGGAGCTCAAGTCAAGGTACTCAAGTGACTTAAGACCTTTAAAAGAAGCTGAAATATCTTTCAGCTGATTGTGCTGAAGATGGATGAAGGTCAGGTTCACCAGTCCATCGAAAGAGCCGAGCTTTGTGATCTTGTTATGACTAAGCTGCAGGTCCTCCAGAGATTTGGGAAGTGGGCCCACAGATTCTGTCAGGTTGTTGTAATTTATATGCAGCTTCTTCAGTTGTTTCAGTTTAGAGAAGATTCCTTTTAATTTAGAATTTTCTAGAAGGTTATGATCTAGAATGAGCCACTGTAGATCGGTTACATTTTCAAAGGCCTTTTCATCAATATGGTCAATCTGGTTATGCCTCAGGTAAAGGTACTTGATTCCAGGAGGCACCATTGGCACACTTTTCAATTTCAGCTCATCACAGTACATGGCCGATGGGTAGCTTGCAGGGCAGTTACATTCTGGGGCACAGTTTGGAGATAATTGCCCATACATTGATAGGGGAAAATCATAATCATCATAGTATTGGCCGCTGGCACCAATGATTAGTGCTAATAGCAGAGTAAATGCACCGAGATTCATTTTTGGCGAATGCTTTGAATCCTAAGTAAAGTGGAAACATATAATAAAATAGTATACTTTAAGTAGGTGAATGAATATTCAATTTACAATGTTAAATTTATTAGAAAGATGTGTATTTTATTGTTTTTTTTTGTTTTTTTATGAATCTAAGGATGTCTTTTTAATTTTTATTTAAGCATGAGGTTTAAGAAGTATGTGTACAAATTGTGAGGAGGTGAACAGTTTAGGCTTAGATTGCATACACACGCGCCCCCTACTGGGCAAGCCAGGCCTAACCTATCCAGTCAATCTCTCCAGGTCCTTCCTTAATTCAATGATTTCCTGTAAGAGGTGTCTGGGTAGTGCCCATTGACCACCATGCTAAAACACTACCTCAAAACATCCTTCAAAACCACAAAAAATGGAAATTAGGAGACAATTGTAAACTGTACCTTTTACCCTACCATTCAACATGATTAAAATGTCTCATTAAGAAGACCCTTACTGGGATCATGAGCAACCTGTGGTTTTGCTGGAAGGGAAGCTGTTCTTAACTTGTGTGGCCAGAGATGGAGGGTGGCAAGGTGGAGGGATATGGGAGGGGGGAGTACATTCCTTTAAAAATGTCTGGTTATTGTTGTTGGTTCTGAGGGAAGGTAACAGAATTCTTAGTAGGGTGTGCATGGATATTATTTCAACTTTTGTTTAGCATTCTAGACTTTCAGGCACATTACAAAACTGTAATTCTGAAATTAATATTTAGTATATAAGTTTTAGTAAGACTAATGTTTATTAATCACAAAAATGTCACAAATTCTAAAGATTTTTAAACCTAGAAAGTGATCCAACTTAATAGAAAAAAAGATATTCTTTTCCAAGTTTTGAATTAAAGTTTTCCTTTCTGTCAATGACTCACAAGTTCTCTACCTTCTTCATGCCAAAATTTAAGAAGGCATGGTTCACTTGTTTGGCTATTAGTGCTCTTACAGAGTGGAAGTGGGAGAGATCTGGGCATTGAGCAAAGTCTGTATTTTACAGTGGCATTAGGAGCCATGGAAGAATGGATAAAATTGAGAATATAAATTAAAAAAATATGTAACAATGATCTAGTAAGAACATGTTTCCAAGGAGGTGAGGCTCAATAAAGTATGTTTTAATTGTTTGGAGAGTACAAGGTCAGAAATTTAGGTAAAGGACAATAGCATACAAGAGTTGGACTTTCCTAGAGTGAAAGCTATGGCTGAGGAGAAGTTGGTAACTCTGAGAGGGAAATCCTTCATGTGAAGCACCATCTACATGCCATAGGCAATAGATCTTCCTGTGAGAAGTATGGTATAAGCTTTTGGATCTAGGGAGTTTGGGATAAATAGGATTTTTAGTATTAGGAAGTTTAAACACCTTTGCTTTAACGTGGAATTACAAGGCACTTTATTTTAGCAGATGAAACACTAAAAAAAGGTGTTAGAAACACTGATAGCTAACACGATGTAATTTGTAACTAGATTTTTAACTAACTTATTCCCCAAGATAATGATGGAGTCATTTAATTTAGTTGACAAGACTTGGCAATGAGCATAATTAATATTGCAATATAAGGTAGAGTATGTTAATGTAAAGATTTGTCTTGCTTTATTAATAAGCTTTGGATTTATTTTATTTCAGTATACACTAAAATAGACATGGTAACTATAATGGATTTAATAGTAATGAAAAACATGCTTTCATTTTTTTTGGCAGAATGAATCCAAAGAGAGTTTGTAGCTGTATAAGGACTCCACTATGAAGCAAAAGTGCACTTTATTTACTTTCCTCCCAGTTTTGGCAAATACTTGTGGTTATGGAGGAAATGCTTTTAAAAAAAAAATGTTTCCCAGAATTTCTTCAAAACATATCCATTTTAAAACATACATCCAAAAAACATCTTTAGAATTAACAAAATAGAAATAAGTAATCCAAAAGAGGGTCTTATGTCCTTAAGCTCACATTTTATAACAACATAAAATATTTATGGCAAATTGTAACAACTATAGCAATATGTATGTGGCAAAAATATTTTTAATACTGCTTAAAATGACCTTTCTTTGCTGCAAAATTCATTGTAAAAATACTAACATATATAACTCATTAGCATAAAATAACAAACATTTTCACTGTCATGTTTAAATATTTTCTCATTCCGACCCTGGAACTTTTTATAACTTCCTTTGTCAAGCAACACAGCGTATATTGTAAAACCTTTATCTTAAATCCATAAGCATGGAAAACATATTAAGAAAAGTGTGAAGGTAAATGCTCAGAGGTATGGATCTGCTGTTGAATAGCAATTGGCAAAGTTGCTCTAGAACTTTTTCTGTTCCTCTTACAATAAACACTGTCCCAAACAGTCAGCGTCCCCAGTGCTATAGTTAAACAGCACTTACCTTACAGTCTTGACTCTGCTTTCGTTAATTCTTAAAGCAGATGCAGTATGGACAAGAATCCACCAATATATGCTGTGAACTCTGTCAGGGCGGAACTGGCTGCCAGATTCTTGGTGATACAAGAGCTGAAGGGGGGAGACGCAGCCCAGTCACGCCAGACTCTGCATGGAGTTATGTCACTGTGGGATCTTGTGGTGCAGCATGTGAATGCTCTGCTCTCTAATGAAGTGCAGGTGGACTGGTGAGCAAGGACAGCCCAGTACATTCCCTATGGAATGGGAGAGCGATACGTGCTTAACTAGCCCAAATGTCATAGCTTTTCACCAAAACCTGAGTCCTGCTGCAAGGGAGGCAATCTAGAGTGAAAACATTTTTCTCACAAAGCTCTTCACTTCTGTAAGCTGTGGCAAAAATTAAAGGTGACTCTCTCAGCCAACTGTCATGTTCATCTAAAGGTCTCATAAAACATAAACAGAGTAATTTCAGGAAAGTGCAAATGAGCAGACTCAGAGGAATTGAATTCTTTTTGCCTATTACTCCTGAAGTCTATATTGATTTATTAGTACTAACAATTTTTGGCCAGGAGAGTAACTTACATTAGTTTATGAAAGGGAATTATTTACAGCCTGATACAAATGATAGAGATCGACCTCTCCAGCTTCTAATATTAAGGAGACATGCTTTACGCTTTTCAGGTCTGGAACCAATTGGCAATGTTCTGCCTGTTTCTCATTTTGTGGATTTAATTTAGGAATTCATCCAAAATCTTACTTAGGGATAGTATTCTATAGCTTACTGCCAAAAAGCATAAAAGAACATAAAAATGTATGCTACAATATCACAGAGCAATGACCTTTCACTCTGTCACTGCATGCTAGGGATATACTTTTCAAAACTAAAAATCATGCAACGTTGTAATCTCCCCAAGGCCGGGTTTGATATATCTTTTGTTGTCAGTTTCTGATGCATGCTTATAGATCTACTCATTTGCTTGTCTATTTCACTTGTGGTTGTATCAGCTGTATTTATAGGAGTTTTTTTCCTCCCAAATTTTCATTTATTCAGGTTTATGAGAACTCTTAGAAATAGATATTTTGATATAAGTTGTCATATTGTAAGAATTTTCCCTTTAAAATAATTTAAATATGTCATTTTTAACTATGAAACCTAAGAAAAACTATTTAATTTTCATTACCACTAATGTTTTTGTCTGAAAAATTAATATTGGGGTAAATGCCTTATTTTTGTCATAGAATCATTAGAAAAGCAATGACAATTTTCTTGAAAGTAACATAGAATGGTGAGGTGATTCATAGTATATTTTATTATTATATTAGGAAAGTTATAGGAAACCATTAGTTTTATAATATAGAAAATGAAGAAATCAAGAAAAAAGACAAAATTATTAATCACATAATTAAGAGGCTCAGTTTAAGAGGATAGTTAAAACAATTCTAAACATTAAATTTGAGTTTGTCAAATTATATAATCTGAATTTTTCTTTTTTTATTTATTTTATTTTTTTAATTTATTGCTCAAAGTATTACAAAGGGTATTACATATGTGTCCATTTTATCCCCCCGCCCTAGACAGTCCCCTAGCCTCCCCTATCCCCCAGTGTCTTATTGAATTTTTCTTTAAAACATTCTAGCTATCTACTCCTAGGACTTTTCTTTAAAGAGCAATAACATTTTTTTTCTAAAATTTAAGCTTTAAAATCCATATAAGTATTATTAATACATTTTCAGTAGTGGCAATGGAGACTCAGAAATTCTAAATAATTTGCTAAACATCAACTAACAAGTAAATGGAAAAACAAAATCATCAACATTTTCAATTGTTGGGAAGAGGGTGACAGGACAGAGCTGAGACAAGATAGTTAATATAATCAGTTTGAAATATTTTATAGGCGATTTTAATGTCAGTTGAGAAAACCCTGAAATATTAACTAGGAAATAGTTTTTAAGTGGCAAAAATTAATTAAGCAGTAGTTTCTTTCCTTTTTATTTAATTTTTAATTGATTTTTTAGAGAGAGAGAAAGGGAAAGGGGGAGAGAGAAACATAGATGTGAGTGTGAAACATTGATCTGCTGCTTCCTGCAAACCCCCTAACTGGATCAAGCCCAAAATCTGGGCATGTGCCCTGACTGAGAATTGAACAGCATGGGACAACACTCAACCAACTTACCACACAGGCCAGGGCTGCTTTCTTTATGTGTATAACACACACACACACACACACACACACACACACACACACAGCCACCTCTACATTTTAGACCTCTGGGTGACATATGTGCTTTCCATCCTGGTACATGGAGATTCAGGTCATTTGTGGTAATGAAAGTGAGAGGTTTTATCAATACGCAAGTTTAAATGATTGAGCTATTCCTTAGCTCACCAACTGGATTCCCTCTGTTACCTGAGACCAGCAGGGATGATGAGCACCATTATGATGACTTTACCCACCTCATTCTGAGTCCTACCCTGGACTTGTCAGACCCCCTGATCCACCACAACGTGGCTGTTCCATTTGCCATAACCATTCTGATGCAGACTCTGCCTGTTCCAGGCTAGCTAGTGAACTCCGAAAAGTCAGTCCTGGAATGGGAAACAGCAGAACCCAGATTTTGTGGAAAGATAGATACAGATTAGAAACTTTCTGAAGCAACCCGCCAGGAGTAAAATTAAAAAAATAAAAGTGACTTGATAGGTTAGGTGTCTTCATTTTAAAAATTCAGGAAAAGACACCATGTGTATAATGCAATTGGTATAAGTCCTGGCTTGACAAAAGGGATTGATATATCAAAATGCTTAATGTCTTATAGGTGTTGTTAGTTATTATTCATTGAGTTATAGAACCAAAGGTTTTAAATAAATCTCAGAGATTATCTAATCGATGGGGTATTAAACAAATTCTGTGACAGGTCTTTTTATTCTCATGTGAAAAACTAAAGTTAACGTGTTACCAGTAATCCATCCAAACTGTGGCATTGTTCTGCATTTTGGGAAAAAGGATGTCAATCCACGTTTCCCTGCACTCTGTGCACAGTGATATGTGACTGCACCCACATAAGTGAAGTCCTCCGAGAGCACAGAACATGATGAAACAGAATGACAATTCCCTATTATTAGAGGAGAAAGTTCCATTTTAATTATCTTATATGTTGGGGTTACAAGCTCAATTTTTCTTATTACAAATTACATAAAAGTAATTTGTTTTAGCACATTTACAAAATACAGGGGAAAAGAAGAAAATAAAAATTTTAGCACATTTAGAGAATACTTACAGGAAAAACATTAAAACAAATACTCTAGCTCAAAGATAACAATGTTTCTGTGTTTTTTATTATGATGTGAGTATGTATACGTACAAACTCACACTTTGGTTATCACAATAATATTACAATATTATGTTTATGGTTTTGTATCCTTTTCTACATGACAACTAGCTGTGGATACTTTTATATATCATTAAATATTATTCACTGATGTCATAGTTAATCTTATATACTGAAAGGCCAGTGACTGAACGGCAAAATGACCAGAACTACCGGTTGACCAGTTGCTATGACGTGCACTGACAACCAGGGGACAGACACTCAACGCAGGAGCTGCCCCCTGGTGGTCAGTGTGTTCCTACAGTGGGGCGGCTGATCAGGATGAGCAGCCACTCAGAGGGCAGGATGAGCGGCACTCCCACAACAGGCCAATCCCCTCAGGCCAAGCCCCGCTACCAGTGCACAAATCCTGTGCACTGGACCTCTAGTTAGTAGATGAAACTCTATTAAATAGATGTACCATATATAGTGTTTATTTTTTAATATTACAATGAACACTTGCTTTCTCTTATAATTTGTAAACCACTATCATATACAATAGAATTTTATTCTTCAAATTAGTTATAACTAATTTGTATACTCTGCTTTTGTCACTAGACATTTTAAATGAAAATACCATTTTAATAGTGGTTTATATTTTCAAATCAGACAATAAGGAGTGGATTAGAATGTTTTCTCTCCTCACATCAATCTTAGTACCATTCTTAATTTCAGCATTTCTTTTGAGCCATGAAACTAGCTTTCATCCTCATAGTTTTTATGCTCATATGGATGTATATTTTAAAACTCATTCTATAATTGATTTCATTTCTCCTGGCATTTTACATAAAATGTATTTTCAGAATTATCAATAATAGGCTTTATTCTACTATTGCATTCATTCATTTGCATTATAAAAATAATATACATGAATGGCATAACACACTGACATATTTAACAGGATATAAGGTAAAAATAACTTGTACTCAACTGAATTTCCAATCCCAATCCTTAAAAGTTATCATTGGCCCTAACTGGTTTGGCTCAGTGGATAGAGTGTCAGCCTGCGGACTGAAGGGTCCCAGGTTCGATTCTGATCAAGGGCATGTACCTTGATTGTGGGAACATTCCCAGTGGGGGGTGTGCAGGAGGCAGCTGATTGACGTTTCTCTCTCATTGATGTTTCTAACTCTCTATCCCTCTCCCTTTATCTTTGTAAAAAAAATCAATAAAATATATATTTTTTAAAAAGTTATCATTGTTTAGATTTTATTACTTCAGAAATTTCAGACATTCCTATATATATACAACAGAATTTCATATCTCTCTCTCTCTCTCTCTCTCTCTCTCTCTCTCTCTCTCTCTCTCTCTTTTGTCCTATATATCTTGTACTTTTCACCTAAAATATTTATTTTGTTTTATTAATACATATGACTTTGTATTATGTTTTATATGGCTACTGAATACCCTAGTGTATGACTGTATCAAAGACATATTACTTATGTCTTTGCTCAATGTTGAGTGTTTCATTCAGTAGTTCAATGTTAGTGTTTTGTTTTGATTACTTCATTGTTATGAAGAGCAATGCTTTAGTGAGCAAATTTTGTGCACCACTGCATTATATAGCTTAAGGACAATCCCAAAGGTAGAATTTCTGGAAAAATGTACATGCAAATTTTAAGACGATGCCATTATTGCCTAATTGCCTCCACAATGTTGTTCTGATTATCACTCCCATCAATGGTATATGAGAATGTATTTTCACCAGCCATTCATGAAGTTTAGATAGTTCAAGCTTAAAATTTCTGTGACTTCATTGTTTTAGTTTTATTTCTTAAATAATATCCGGTAGTGCCAGTTCCCCTTCTTTATCCCT